GATGGATGTTAGCAAACCGCCAAATATACAAACAAACGAATTCTATTGGTTCATAAAATACGCTGACTAAGCAAATTAAAGTTCGAGAATATTCCTAAGAAACTTTCTTAAAAATTTTATTGAAGTTATCTTTGAGATATCTATAGTAAATTGTTATAAAAGTGTATTATTAAACGAACTTTAACTTTGAAAAAAAAAAAAATATATTATACCCTTTTATAAATTGATTAATTTTTGTCTAACAATAATTTTTATAAGTAAGTAGTTAAAGTTAGTTTTTTCGTTTTCTTTTTCATGTATTTGAATAAACTTATTATTATTATTATTATCATTAAATATAAAAATTTAGGTATATGTATCAATGCTATATTTTTTTTAAGTTTAAATTCTTTAAACGATACAATATAATGGACCGTGGTAAGAGACAGCGCTTGTCTGGGTCACAATACAAGAAAATTAGGCTTCAACGTGAAGCAAATTCTGCCAAGCAGAAGAATGCTTTGTTGCACTTTTTGAGCAGGTCATCAAGCAAAAAAGCACTGGCACCTATAGTAGCTTCAACTTCAAACCAAAATGAAGTTGAAATTGAAATCGAAAGCGGTGGAGAAATAGAATATGCGGATAGTGTTAGTGTTAATGAATATAGAAATTCTGGAAACGATGATACTGCTAAAGAACCAGAAAATGTTGATGAAGTGGAATTTATCTCCAATTTAAGTGAGGTTGTTGTACAGAACGTCGATGATATAGGACAAAATGAAAACAATGAAGATCAAAGTGGTGAAGACCCCAAAACCAATAAAGATTTGCCTCTTAATTTTAATGATCCGGCAAAATGGCCTATAATAGATGGTAAATTTAAAGCATTGCTGATGAAGTATGGTCCAATTCAAAAATTGCCGTCTTTATTTCCCGAAGATGAACAAGGTAGAAAATTTTCAAGCTTTCATTTTTATCGCCGAATGTCTAATGGCGATAAAATTAAACGCACTTGGTTGGTGTACTCCATTACGAAAGACACTGTATTTTGCTTTTGCTGTAAGATATTTAGTCCGAATAAATTCTCCCTGTCGTCGCATGACGGCTGCCGAGATTGGAAAAATATTTCTGTTATTATTAAACGACATGAAACATCAAGTGGCCACACTACTGCATATCTAAATTAAAGAGATCTGGAGGTGAGACTTAAATCAGGGGCTACGATTGATCACATTAATCAGAAAATAATTCAATCTGAAACTCAACATTGGCGACAAGTTCTTGCAAGAATAATAACGTTAATTAGAACTCTTGCTGGACAAAATCTAGCATTAAGAGGAACATGTGAAAAGCTTTTCGAACCGAATAACGGAAATTTTCTTAAATTTATTGAATTCTTAAGAAATTATGATCCTATTATGAGTAAACATATTCAACGAATAACAACAAGTGAAACTCACACCACCTATCTCGGAAAAACTATTCAAAATGAAATCGTTGAATTGCTTGCTAATAAAATCAAAAATGACATCTTAGCAAAACTAGAGCGAGCAAAGTACTACTCACTTATTTTAGACTGTACCCCCGATATAAGCCACATGGAGCAGATGACAGTTGTTTTTAGGTTTGTCAGTGCAACTGAATCATCTTCGGAAAAACCAGCTGAAGTCGTAGTTTCTGAACACTTCGTAACTTTTCTTGAATTACAAGACACAACGGGAGCAAATATGACAAAAGTTGTTATCGATAAGTTGCAGGAATTAGGCGTAAATCTTGATGACATGAGGGGACAAGGGTACGATAATGGAGCCAACATGCGCGGAAAATATAATGGTGTGCAAGCCAGAATTCGTCAACTAAATCCTCGAGCTTTTTTCGTTCCTTGAAGTGCCCACTTGCTCAACTTGGTATTGAACGATGCAGCTAATTGTTGTATGGAGGCTGTCGCATTCTTTGATTTAATTCAAGGCATTTATAACTTTTTCTCAGCATCAACTCACCGTTGGAGTATATTATTAAACCACCTAAGCGATCTGACTATAAAACCGTTAAGTGCCACTCGTTGGGAAAGCAGGGTCGGTGCCGTACGGGCACTTTGATTTCAGATTAGTGGAGTTTACGATGCACTAATTGAAATCGCAGAAGACAATACATTAACTACTGCACTACAAGTCAAGAGTCGCGCAGAGGCTAAGGGAATAGCCAGAAATATTTCAAATTTCAAATTTGTTTGCTTCTTGGTATTGTGGTATGACATTTTATTCCAAATTAATATTGTCAGCAAAATGTTCCAATCACAGGCTTTAGACTTGTCGCTTGCTCTAGAGCATTTAAACGCTACCAAATCTTTCCTATGCGATTATCGCTGTGATGAAGAATTTGCCGCAATGGTTGAAAATGCAAAAAAATTGGCAGTTGAACTAGAAATTTTTGAAGGATTTGATGTGGATGATGCCGTACGCGTACGCAGAAAGAGTAGACAATTCCTATACGAAGGTCGTGATGAATCGATAGTATCACC